GCCAATATTCTATTCGTAGGAGGTGGTCTGTGTTGATTTTTTAAATGTATTTCTTAAGGTTTGGGATGAAGAAGCCTCTACTTACTCTCTCACCTCTACTTTGAGTTCAGCTTTACCAGCTGGCTGGCTCCAAGCATTCAGCATTTGGTGAATGTTTCTCTATAAATCATTATCAAAATCAGTTGTAGACTATCTGCCCTCCTTGGGACACTGCAGGGCATAAAGGATCTGAGAGCTACAGGACACCAGAGGCCAGAGGCCCCCAGAATACAAGGCACTTTGACTAAATGACTGTGAAGAATAAATGGTGCCATGCCTACAAGATCCTTACGTGCCTGGTTCATTGAAAGCCTTCAGTGCAGAGTGATCAGAGGTCATTATTGCTCTCAAACTGTGTCTCAGCTGCTTTCAGAGTTCCAGGGTATCTGGGCATTAATGTGCTTATAAAGAGAGCAAAACTTAGAATCAAGAAATGTGGTTTCTAGTTGCAGCTCTGCCCCTAGAAAGGTGGGCCACAGTGAGAGCCTAAATGTGCTGAGCATTAAGTGTCATGCATAACGCTTCACATCGCAGGGTCTGTCTTCCTCCCAGCAACCTAGGAAATGGGTCAGCATTTCACTGATGAGGAAGTGAGGGCGCAGAGAGAGTAGCTTGCAAGTTGGTGCCCAAGTCATTCTGATCCGAAAGGCCGTGCTCCTACCATCCCCGTGCCTACCATCTCCATAGACCTCAGTGCTGCGCAGGGGGAGACCCCGAACAACGTTGCCAACCTCCCTGGGTCCTGCTGTCTTCTGCTGTGGAATTGAAAAGCCATCTCTAGTTTATTTTGATTTCAAAATTCTTATTACTTAAATCTTTACTGCCACCTAGTGGGCGTGATTTAATGAAGACCGCATACAGTTCAACTTGGATTAAAAACTGTCAATTCATCTTAAATTCATACTGTGCTCCTAACCTTTAAAAATTGTATTTGTGAACAAATATCATTGCCTTCTGTTTTTATTTTTGTAGTACACTTCCAGATGTGAAATCCCCTTTATAGGATTTTTGGTGAGATTCTGGGATACATATAAACCCCAGATTTAAAAAAAATACATGATGCTTTGGGACCACATAATAGGCTCTCAGCTTCTAAAGGGCTATAATTAAAGAAATTCTAATCTGTAATAGTCATAATTTGTAGAGCATATACATTTTTAACTTTATTTCCTCAGTATTTTTTTTACATTCTCATGATAAAAAAAATAATTCAAACAATACAAAGGATGTGAATTAAAAAGTCTTCCTTCACAGAGGCAAGTGTCTTAAGAGGTTTTTTTTCCCAAGAAGTATTCTATTCACATAGAAGCATATGTGCATATTCATTTCTTTACTCTTTTCCTACTATATATAGTGTTCTGAAGTTTGATTTTTAAACATAATCTATTTTGGACATTCTCTCAATGTCAGCTCACAAATCTGCCTCATTCTTTTTGACAATTTGTAGTATTCCATTATTGAATATACTATAATCATTTTAGCCAGTTCCTCATTAATGTCCACATGGGCTATTTTCAGTTTTGTTATTACAGAAGTGCTGCCAGGAATGAATATATGCTTCAGGTGCCACACACACACATACACACACCACACACTCTTTTGCGAATTTATTTATAGACCGAAGTCCCAAAGTCTTAGATATGAAGTTGCTAAGTCTAAAGGTATGTTAATAGCCATGGACCAAAGATCACCAGCAACACACCTGTAGTAAAAAAAAAACAAAACTCAAATTCTTGTGACTGCAGCAAGGAAGAAAACCAGAGGACTTGTGAGCCATTTCTGAGTGGGATTCGAAGGAACTTTTGTAGGATTTGGGCTTGTGCTGGGCGTTAGTAGGGAGGATTCAGGGAGCAGGAGCAGTTCTGGGTCGAGAGCTGTTAGGCAACAAGCGCAGGTCAGTGACTGGGCATTTGCGTAAGTTTTTCTAGGAGGATAGAGAGTTCAAGTTGGGCTAGAAGTGTTATTGGTAAAGAAGCAGCAGCCACAGATGTGGTCAGAAGAGGGGGATGTCTACCAAGAGGCCTTGTCTGGACGGTGCTTTATTCCATGAGTGTTTTCATGATCAGTTGGGGGCATCGTGGCCAACCTGACAGCTGTGCTTTCTTTCCTTTTCTCAGGTACATTGATTTTTAAATGTCTGTAGATGTTTGTATTGCTGTCCAAAAAGTTTGTACCAATTTACATTCTTCTGGGTTCTTTTCAATACTCAACTTCCCTAAAGGTGAAGTAGTCAATAATCAGAATCGTAATGGCAATTATAATTAAAGCAAACATCCATAGAGCCACTTCCTCTGTGCCACCCCTGTGCTAACTTCATTATTTCCCTGAGCCTTCACAAAGGCTCGAGACAGGCGCTAATAACAACCCAGCTTCCATAGGAGGAAACGAGGCCGACCAGCCTGGGTCCTGTGGCTCAGAACCAGGCTGCCTCATTCCAGGGCCCAATCGGCACCATGAAGAAACTTTCTTCTGTATCTGCTGCACAGACGCCAGCCTTGGAGAATTTAAGGCTAAGGAATTAAGAGCCATTTAACTAATGATCCCAAATCTTCGAAAGTCTGGTTTAGCTTGATAAAGAAGTAGAGTCCTGTTTACAAAAAAGAGATGTATGGCAGCATTCCAGGAACCACATACATAGTGTAAGGGAGGCCTCCAGCTTGAGGTGCTCAGCGACTCACATGTGCCCTCAATTAATCAAAGGCCTATGCAGGCTTTCTGTAAATCACAGCCCAGACGCTGTAATTAAATATTCTCTGGGCCAGCAGGAACTCAGAGGGTATTTAAATAACCCCCAAGGAAGTAAGTGGATGAAGGACATGCATCCCCTTGGATCCACAGAGGTTTGTGAAGTTTCCAAGCTGTGTGAGGACGGGGCCCATGAGACGGCTGGGAAGGACTTTTACAGGGAAAGAAAGCAGAATGAAATGGTGCTTAAGTAAATATTTATTGAGTGTGATGGTGCACACTGGGGTTCAGAGCTGGCCTCAAAGCTTGGAGTTAGCAGAACAAATGCAGTAACCGCCGGCTACCGCTCTCTTCCAGATTGCGCAGGCTGCGGGAGAGACATCAAGAACGGGCAGGCGCTGCTGGCGCTGGAAAAGCAGTGGCACTTGGGGTGCTTCAAATGCAAGTCCTGCGGGAAGGTCCTCACCGGGGAGTACATCAGCAAGTAAGGCGGGGTCTCGGCTGCGCGATCCTGTATGCTGTATGTGGGGTGGGGTGCTTTGGCCCCTCCCCCCGTAGGCTCCACCCTCAGGGACCCGCCCACTCCAACCCACCGACCTGAAAGACATTCATGTCCCACAGTCATTATGAACCTTTGCTCTAAAACTGTCTTAGTTTTTATAATCTCTTTGAAAAGAATTTTATTCTTCCATCGCCATAGTTTGCCTACCATACATTTAATGAAATGATAATCATTGCCTGGTTTAACTATTAGTGAGGCAGACCTGTTACTCTGTATGTTGTTGCCAATTAAGCATTTGTTAATTTTGCTTTGGTTAATCTTGCCCCCTATTTGGAACTAGTAGACCTTTGTCCTACTCTTTCAGGATGTAAACATATTTGTAGGCCACCCAAAAGACACACAGGGTCTAGGCACTGACCTATTAGGGCTTTGCTTAAGACAGCCCTCCAGGGAATGGGTTTGTGGTAGGTTCAGATGCTGGTGTAGATTATAGCTCAAGTCAGTGAAGGTTTTTCTGCCTTTTTTTCTCTTTTTTTTTAATGTAGCCTGGAGAAACTAGTTACAGTGGTTGCCTTTTGAGTTAAGGAGCAAAGAATAAGCATGGGGGTCCAGTGGCGATGAGGAAGGATTTTCACCTATACACCTTCTTATGCTTTAAAAAAAAGTTCTACAACCAGGTGAATATATCACCTATTCAGAAATATTAAATGGAGTTAACTTAAGAATACAGTAAAACAAAGAAGGTAGCTTGGGCCCCACTTCCTAGAGAACTAACTCTGTAGGTCTGGGAGGAGGCTACAGAAGGAAAACTCCACAGGGGATTCTGAGGCACAGCCAAAGTAAGAAAAGAAAAATGACCGTCTTTTAAACGAACACTGAAGGCGGTGCAGTCATAGGTAACTGGGCTGGCTGGAGTGGTGCTTTTAAACCTTTCCAATGCAGTGAATGGTACACAGAGAAAATGGCATTTTTACGGCGCTCCGAGGTGAATGAAGGAGGTTGTGGGAAGCTATCCAAGAAGGCGCCGGGCCCCTCAGGCTGCCTGCGGGCTGAGGACGTGCTGGTGTCTCAGCGCTTTGGGAGGCTCTGGTGTGTGAACTCAAGCAGACGTGGGGGCAGGCAGCATGCAGGCCGCCTCGGAGGGCAGGGAACACTGGGACCACAGCTGAAGCGCATCTGGCCTGGTAGTGAACGGTGCAGGGTTTTGCTTCTTAGGACTTGAGACAATCGAGGAATCACAGTGGTGATCGTGTGGTGGTCTGGCTGTTATTTCTGTGGGTTATTTGGTTCTGTGTGTTTTTATCGTTATCTGACCGGCTCTCTGGGCATGGGAGTGCTGGGTGGCAGAGAAGTATGTCCTATGACCGTTCTGTGGAAAAGGGCTCACAGGGATGTGCTTCGGCATCTCCCCTGCCCTGTGGCCTCCGCTCAGGAGCTGAACACTCTTTGTCTTGCAGGGATGGTGCCCCGTACTGCGAAAAGGACTACCAGGGGCTCTTTGGGGTGAAATGTGAAGCCTGCCACCAGTTTATCACAGGGAAGGTCCTGGAGGTAAGTGGCCGAGTGGCTCAAAGCCACCTTCATTTTCCTCAGAGGCCCTCAGAAACATGAGTCTCCTTTTCCACTTTTTTCATCTTTTTCTCACCTATGGAGGGAAGAAATAGTTGTGGATGATAAATGTCAGAGAATTAACATGCGCACTGTCTTCATGTGTACAGGCAGTTTGCTGAATGTTCATGTGGAAATTGGAATGATGGAGAATTTGAAGGAAGAAAAAGAATGATAAAGGGGCTACTCAGAATTACGTAGAAGGAGGTGTTATATTAGACTTCTTATTTTTATCAGTCAGAAAAGAGGAAATGAAGAGCATGTGTGCACGAGCATATGTGTCCGTGTGGACCATGCACATGTATGGTGTGCATGCTCGTGTTCTTGTGGGAATGTACACGTGTATGCACTTGTAGGAGTATGTATGTGTTTGTGCTCTTGTGTGTACATGTGTGCATGTGACAATATAGACTCAGTGAGCAGAGGCTCAGAAAGGAAAGGGTGGGTGAAGCTTCGTGAAGGCATAGACGTCTCCACCCTTTGAAAACCACATCCTCTGTGACCCAGAACACCCTGTGGCCCAGGCTGAGCTGAAGCCTGTCAAGTTCAGGTGTGACTGCCTCGCACCAGAGAGCTTGGTTCCTGCTTTCCCAGCAGCCCCACCATCTTCTGCCTCTGGGCTGAGCTGAGCTGAGCAACTCTTGGGCTTGAGTCTGTCCTGTGGAATCGGGGCCAGAATTCCCAGGGATCGGAGTCACTGCCCCACTTCTCCCAGGCCTGTGGGGTGTGAACCAACTCCTGCTGAAAAAGTAAAGATTGCCTCAGACCCATCCCACGTCTCTGGGTGGAGGGTATACTGAGTAGAGGTGAGTCAGGCCACCCAGCAGCTGGAAGGGGGACTAACTGGTCCTGCGGCTTGTCACTTGTCACATTGTTGGGCAGACTCCAGCACCCCAGATCCACACCAACACCTTCCAACTTCTCAGCAGGGCATGTTTCAGAGACATAGGGCAGAGACCTGAAGAGCTGCCAGAGTATCTCTGGGCAGCTTCTGGGGGATTTCACAGCAAGGTCCAGTGTGGCGTTGCTCATCCCACACAAGCTCTGTGCCACCCTCTCTCATGAAATACAGAGGGGCCAGCACTACTCTATGTGAGGACCTAGTGCAGCTCATTGTACTTGGGGAGTAAGGAGGTGAGTGGTGGTGAATGCAGTTGTCTCTTCCCCAGGGGAAGGGTGCTCCAGGAGGAGGGAGCAGCCTCTGCGGAGGCTCAGAGGTAAGGGCAAGCACAGCACACGTGACAGGAGCACAGGTGTGACAGGGGATGCTGGAGGAGTGGGGGCGTCAGGGTGTGAGGCCCTCGAGAGTCACATTCAGGAATTAGGGTTTTATCCTAAGGGTGGGAGGCCAATGAAGTGAGTGTGGCTGGAGTTTGATGTGATTAGATGAGACTGTTGTAAAAGAAATAATGGGGGTATCCACACACGTGTTCCCCCATGTTCGTAATGACTCTGTTCGCAACAGCAAAGACGGAAGTAGCCCAAGTGTCCGTGGGTGGATGAGTAGATAAACAAAATGTAATATATACACAGTCAGTGGAATATTGTTCAGCCTTACAAAAGGAAGGAATTCTGGCACATGGAATTTTTTTCCTGGATGAACCTTGAAAACACGCTCAGGGGAAGAAGCCAGACACAAAAGTCCACATACGGCGTGATTCCATTTGGAGGAAATGTCCAGAGTAGGTAAATCCACGGAGACAGGAGGCAGGCTGGCAGTTGCCTGGAGTTGCAGGGCGGGGGAAGTGAGGAGGAACTGCTCACTGGTGCCCAGTTTTGGAGAGCTGAAATGTTTGGGAACTAGGTAGAGGGGGCAGATGCCCAACATCGTGAGTGTCCTAAATGCCACAGAATTGTTCGCTTTAAAATGGATAATGTCACGGTATGAGAATTTCACCTCCAATTTTTTAAAAAAGTGGATGGAAGAGGGGTAAAGGTGGGGACAGAGAGGCCAGCTAGGAGACAACTGCACAACTCTGGGCATGGCGTGGTGGTGGCATTAACTGCAGTGAAGCCTGAGAAGGGGACCTCACCCTCCCCACATGCTGGCCTTTCCAGTAGAGCTGTAGATGTCAGCCCAAGCAGAGTCAAGGCTGGGTTTCTGGCCCAGGGTGAAGCACATCGACAGGAAGGCTGTTGGGGAAGACAGCAGCTTGAAGTCTTAAGACTCCAAGTGTGGTGGTGGGCGCTCCCTGCCTGTCCCCTGAATGAGACCCTCTTCCCTCCCCAGAGCCCCAGAGAGCTCCTCTCACACGGAGCCCTGGGGGGCCTGACAGCATTTCCTTTGGGGTTCCCAAGTCTGATCTGCTCTTTGGAGCTGAAGTAAACCTGTTGAGTTGGGAGCAATTGGGAAATTCCATTTCAAAGAACAGTAATAAAACACCAGAGCCACTTCCCAGATGTCCAGCCACAGGAAGAGAGGTGGGAAGACACTAAACACAGCCCAAGGATTTGGCTCAGCCATGTTTGAGGATCAGAGCAGCTGTCTCTTCAGTCCATAGGTGGAACTGTGTTCCCCCCAAAGATTTGGGGGGCAAAAAGGCTTGGGGGAGGGAAGCCAACTACCTTCAGATTCAGTTCAACAACTGTGAGAGGAATACGTAAAATCAGCTAACTCCAAGAATGTGTTATTTTGAAGAAATGAATACCTGCTCACGTTGGCTTCTCCCTCGAGGGGAATGTCTGCTGTGGCTTCAGGGGCCTCTCACAAGACTGGCTCCTGGTTTCAGCGAGGGCCATTTGTAAACTGAAGGCTTGGAGGCTTTCCACAAATGTCTTCAGAGTTGGGACTTTGGGGAGTCGTTTGTGTTCAGGGTAGATTAAAGATCCACCCAGTGGGTGTGCTGACCTCCTCAGATGGGTGTGGGATCCAGAAAAACGTCCTGCAGGGTCAGCACACTGACACGTGACAGCTCATGAGTCACTTTGGCTTGGTTTCCCCTGGAAAACAGGCCTGGTCTCCACACACTCCACCTTCCTCCCCTACCTTTCATTCTCTGACCCCATTGTTGCTGAAACATTATGATTGTGAGTGTGTAAAGGCTGTCATCCTTGCCTTTCGGGTTTTTCCCTGCCCAGTTTTAAAAATTAATGTAAATTTTACTAGCTTAACTATTTTTAAATGGACAGTTCAGCAGTATTAAATACATTCATAATCTTAATTCATTATCATCATCCATCTCTATGACTCTTTACATCTTATAAAACTAAAACTCTACATGCACTAAACAATAATGGTGAGTATACAACCATAAACAGCCCTACCCCCTGCCCTGGCAACGACCATTCTCCTTTCTCTTTCTGTGCATTTGACTAATCTAGGAACCTCACATAAGCGGAGGTTCTTGTGTGTGTGTGAGCGTAATTCCTCAAGGTTCATCTGTGTTGCAGCATGTGTTGGAATTTCCTTCCTTTTTAAGGCTGAATAGTATTCTACTGTGTGGGTATACCACATTCTGCTTATCCCTTCTGGGATCCTTGGTTTTTTTGTTGTGCTTGTTGTGGGAGTGGTTGTTTTCTGTGATTGATTTTATGCATAGAGATTGTAAAAGTATCAGTTTCCTGTATCTGCTACAACAGTCATGGCTTAAGATGACATAACCTGACTCTCTCACAGTTCTTAGAGGCCAGAAGTCCCAAATCGCTATGTCAGCAGGACCCTGCTCCCTCCAAAGGGTCTCCGGGAGAACCTGTCCTGGCCTCTTCCAGCCTTTGGTGGCCTGTGGCTGCATGACCCACATCTCTGCCACCATCTTCATGTACCTTCCCCTCCACATCTTCCCTTCTCTGTGTCAAACTCCCCCTCGCTTTTCTCTTAGAAGGACCCTTGTTATTGGACATAAGGCCCACCACCCAGACAATCTAGGATGATCTCCTCATCTCAGGATCCTTAGCTTAGTTACATATGCAAAGACCCTTTTTCCAAACATTCACAGGTTCCAGAGATTTGATGTGGATGTATCTTATGGGGGCCACCATTCAGCCACTCCTGTAAACCTGGGAACTTTCACAAGTACCATCATGGAGAGAGCTAAAGCTCTGGTGTAGTTTTAATTGAACCCTCACTATGCACCAGAGGTGCCCTGAAGCCTCTTCCCTGGGTTTAGTTTCCCCTCAGATGCCACTGGGCACCTCAGGGAGCTTTGAGGAGAAACAAGGTGCCTGGGCAAAGATCAAGAAGCTCGAGGCTCAGCCAGGTCACTAATTTCGGAGTTGTGGGCAGGTCTTTGGCACTGTGCATTTCACAGGTAAGGGAATGGCATGTTACCTCTGAAACTCCACCCTGCTCTAAAATTCTCTCTCTGTTCTTCTGCAGTAGTCATAAACCCTACCCACCTCATCAGCTGGAAGGGCGGCTGGTGTTTTAATGAAAAGGGCTCCAGGTAATAGGATGTGGGATCTACTCTAGGCTCTGGAACTCAGAGCCATGTGACCTTGGGCAAGTCTCTCAACTGCTTTGAGCCTCAGTTTCTTAAGGACAAGCATTAAACATGCATATATAAATCCAAGCCTCGGACCACTTGACTTCTCAAGTCCTTTGACTCCAAGGATCTGAGTTCCACAATTCTCTTTGTCTTGGATCTGAGGGTCAGAGCCAGCAGTTCAAATAACCTAGTTATGGTTATTTGGCTTTCAGTTTTGTTTTCATCAAGACTCTCTTTTTAGAGGGATCTTGCTGTAAATGGCACATCTTTAGAAGCTTATGCTAATTAACCTATAAATTCAGGAGAATTTGGAAGATGTTTGCAGTCTGCCTCCTAACATGGAAGACCAGAGCACATTAAGCGTGTAATACCCGAGTTTGCTGATCACCTTCTATCTCCGTCTCTCCCTCTGACTCTCCTCTGGAGCAGGCTCCCTCTCCCGATTCCCCTCCTGTTTCAGCAGCCTCGTGGTACAGGGCGCTACTTAGGTCACAGATGTCAGTAGACATCGGGGCCCTC